AAGTTACAGGACTTTTCCCCCACCAGTCCCTCCAGTCAGCTCCCATAGCTACCCATTCCCGCTTCTCTGTGCTTGACTCGGAGTCGGAGGAGGAGATTCACATTTCCTCCGACCATCTGGGAGCATCGACCAGTTCCCCTTTTGACGATGACGATCTATTAGTGGATGAGATAGAGTCTTCCGCCATTCCATTGTGTATCGAGGCCCCCCTTCTTCCTCAGCTCTCATGATCGTAGAGCCCTCCCTCCACCTTACCCCACTCCCTTGCCCATCAGCTCGATCCCCTCTGGCCCTCCCTTCCTCCTCCCCTTCACCTCCCGCTAGTGGGTCTGGTCCTTTTTTCCCACAGCGCCAGACGCAGAGCTCCGACGGATTGGGACACCTTCAGCTCATCCTCTTACCCCAGTAGTTTCCCCCTATTCGAGGGGGACTATTACAGGAGATCCCAGAGCACCGGGGACCACAGACCAGATCGATGACTGTGCAGCTCTCTGCTAGCCGAGCTCTGACCCTACCGGACATACAGACATAGCCTAACCACGGACAGCTCCAGTTAGGCGGTCTCACTGACATTTGAAATGTCAGTCACATCGCTAACATGGAATGCCCGTGGTCTGGCTAATAGGACCACCCTTGCTCATGTTAGATCTCTTATACGTGAGCATAACCTTGACTTTGCGGCTTTTTTAGAGCCTATGACTCGTGACCCTTCTTTTGACATATACTCGCGGCGCCTCGACTTTCATGCCGGGATGGGAAACACCTCTAACAAGATTTGGTTTTTCCACTCGCGTGACTTTACTTGTCAGATCCTTCGAGATACTGATCAAGTCTTGCACGTGAAGCTCACCGCCGCCCATCTTCCGGAGCCGATCTTCCACACTTTGGTTTACGTCAGTTGTGCGAGGGTTGGTCGCTATGACCTCTGGGACACCATGTGTGAGATTGCTGAGAGTATGGAGGGATTATCGTGGATGATTAGCGGTGATTTCAACATATTCTTGCACCCCGATGAACGCATGGGTGGTATATCGGACCGCTCTGCGGAGATCTTAGATTTCTCGCATGCCGTATCGGATTGTGAGCTCCATGACGCTGGTTATGAAGGGGCTCCCTTTACGTGGGAGAGGGCCGGAGTCAAGGAGAGGCTCGATCGCGCTCTCTACTCAGAGGCGTGGACGAGGGTGTTTGCAACCACGGTTGTGACGCACCTTCCTCGAATTGGATCCGACCATGCCCCCCTTCTGATTCGTTGTAGATTCTCCATTTCCCCTCGACGAGCGTCCTTCCGTTTCCAGAACATGTGGGTCCGCCACCATTCTTACTACGATAC